GAAACCAGTCTTAAAGCCCATGTGAGAGACCGAGGAGGAGGGAGTCTGTCAAGGGCCAGCAAGTTCAGCCATAGTGTCTCTCTCCTCCTGCCTGACCACACAGCCAGAGGATTGCATTTTGCAAAACACGCAGCCCAACTGGCTATGTGGCTATGTGGGCACTCCAGGTTCACTGCCACCAGAAGAGCTGCATGGCAGGTGGATCCATCATGTATTGAGGGACCACTGTCTCCCAATGGCAATCCCTGCAGCTCCTTTTTGGACCCCATTCCTGATTCCACACAGAGATTTAGGCCCCTAGAGCTCTGCCATTGCACTTTGGATAACTGCACAAGTGGAATTTTCACTCTCCACTTCTAGACGTAACTTCTGAAGAAGCAACACCTTCTGGCTTTTTCCTCAGTATTTTCAGGGTATGGGACAACACCAGGAGTCTATTCTAAGGGATTTCTTATCCCTCTTCCATCAGTATAAAAGTAGTGGGCTGGGGCACCTGGGTAGGTCAGTTAAGCAACCGACTCTTAATTTCAGCTCAGGTTATGGTCTCAAGGTTGTGAGATCGAGCCCTGCGTCAGGGCCGGTGCTCAGCGTGGAGTCTGCTTGAGATTCTGTCTCTCCCTCTGCCACTCCCCCACTTGTGTGTTCTCTCTGTCTCTCTCTCCCTCCCCCCTCAAAAAAGTAGTGGGCTAATTCTCCTGAAGGAAACCCTGTTATGTAGTCATGAAGATTTTAAGCTACTAATGATTATATTACAAATGAACAACAACAAAAATGCCCAAATTTATTTACTCAAATCTGCTTAGTTATAGCTTAAGATTATGCTCCTTGTGCTTTGGAAGGATAATAACCCAAACTGTCCTTACTTACATGGTGTTTAGAGACATGGTGTTTCTCTAGAATTAGCTTCCTAATTATCAACGGGGCTGCTAGGTGGATAGATGACTCCTTACTTATTCCTGTTTCCTGTAGCCTTTCATCCAAAATAGTCTGAAGCCCTGTTTCCCACTTCTTCCCCTACTAACTCCTTAGAAAATTCCATCTAGGTCTGTGTATTTAGAAAAAGGACCAATAATTCTTTTATTCAACTAAATTAAAAATAAATAAAACCAATGTGAATGTTATTTAAATGCTGCATTATTCGTCTTTGACACTGGTAATTAATATTTCCTAAATGTGTGAATGAGCTGCTTAAAAATAAAAAAGCATCTCTACTTTATAATCTTACACATTACAAGGAAAAATTGTAACAAAGTAAGGAAAGGTTAAAAGCATACAGACATTATGCAAACCCTCACAGACCTCCCCACCGGATTTATTTACCCTATAAGTGGGTGACAGTTACAGGCTATCCTTACAAACATTTATGATTCATCTTTGCTTACCTTTATATTTGAAGGAAGATAGATAAGTTCTTTCATTACACACTAAATGAATGAAGAGATATTAAAAAGCAAGAATCAATAGTATTTTGTGACTGGTTTGATTTGGAAAGTGGAGGGAAAACAAGGAATTAAATATAATTGTAAGCATTCATGCCCACAGGACCAAGAAGCTAAGCAGGTAGAGAAACAGAAATGTGTTCCTTCATTCTTCAAATCATTCATTCGCTAACTCATTCTTTCATTCAACACATCTTTGATGGACATTTCCTGAGGGCAATACATTGCATTGGTCACTGAAGAAGACACCGACAGCCTCTCTGTAAGGATACAAGAAAATTGGGAGGAAAAGATTCACATACTGTGAATAGTTAAGTAATAATAGAAGAGAATATAGCATCAGGTTGAAAACAGAACTGACTAATGCAGACATGAAGTAATAGCGGAATACAAAAATAAGGGCAAAGTGGGGACAGTCCTGGAACTGAGTTTTCTAGAACATGTAGAATTAAACTGGTCCATGAGCTCAATTCACAGCCAGCATTTGTGAACCACCCATTATGAGGGTTGTCCCAGGCTGTGTGTGGTGCAAGATCCCAAAATGAACAGAACATGGGCTTTAACCGGCAAGGACCTTACAGACTAGAATAGGAGACAGATATTTACCTCGTAATACAAGGCCGGACTGAGTAAGAGTGGGAAGGGAAGGGTCCCTGGAGAGCCAGTGAGGGACAATGGAGAACAACAGGGACACGGGACAGAGTTATAGAGCAGGCTTTCCTAGAGCTGGTGTTAAACCAGTTAGGGGGTGGAATGCCTTTGAGGCACAAATAGATGGAAGTGAAAAAGTGCCGCCCAGAAAACCTTAGCAGAATCGTTGGATTTAGCAGTTATTTATTGACTAGAGAGGAGGGGCAGAGAGAGAAGAAGGAAGAAGAGTGAAAAATCAGTGCCAAGGGGATCAACGGGGGAAGAGCCAGAGGCAATTTGGAGTAGGAAATGCATGTTAAGTTTGTCAGCTCCAAGGAGGTGAAAAAGGAAGGTGGGCAGGTCAGAGTTCAGGCGGGGAGATCCAACTAGCCTGCAGCAGGTCCCCAGCAAATGCTGTCACCACGCAGACGCTCCTTTCCACGGCTCTCCGTAAACCCCCTGGAACTGGCTGCACGTCCCGCGCCCCCCACGTTCTTGAACACTCGCGCGGGGCCCCGGCGAACAACGCCCCAGCCATCGGAGAGTCTTCTATGCAACCAATTACCTCGTGTCTAACAGACGGTTCACACGGTGCGGCCCTAGCAGAAGTCTTGATCCATAGACCCCCCCCCCGCCCCGCCCCCTCCCCCAACCCGCCCCCCAACTCACTCAGCTGTCAAGCCTTGCATCTGAATAAATGCTCCCCGCAGATACTCCGTTGATCAGCCAAAAATCTAGGCTTCATCTTCTGTTTCTTTCTGTCTCTCACTCCTGCATGAGTAGGTTCGCTGGCTCAGTAGCCATATTATAGACTGAAACTGGCCCTGTCTCACCATTTCATCTCTGCCACAACACTGTCACTGTCCACGTGCTCTTCTTCTCTCCCCCGGGCCGCTGTAATAGCTGTGTTTCCCTGCCTCCTCCCTGGACCCTGGGGCCGTCCCCAGCCAGCGGTCATGCTGGTGAAAGCGTCTGTCCGGACGTCTCACTCCCCTGTGGAAAACCCCCAGCTAGCGCGAAACCTGAACTGCTCGCCACGCCTCCAAGCCCAGGGAACCTTCTCTACCGCACCTATTGGTGCCTGCCATATCTCAAATGTTTCCTTTAAAAAAAAAAAAAGATACATTTGCCCGCACTACAATGTAAGTATCTTGAGAGAAGGGACTCTTTCAAGTTCTTCACGTATCCCTACAGTCTAAGGCCTGGCACGTAGAAGGTGCTCAAAAAATATTTCTAATAATAATCTGGGAATTAAGGCTCTTGGTTACACCGCTAGCTTATTAACCTTAAGCAATTTTCCATCAAAACTGGATTACAGTGATCCCAAAGTTACCTACAAATCTAAAATTCTATAATATCTTTTTTTTTAAGATTTTATTTATTTATTTGAGAGAGAGCACATGAGAGGGGGGAGGGTCAGAGGGAGAAGCAGACCCCCTGCCGAGCAGGGAGCCCGATGCGGGACTCGATCCCGGGACTCCAGGATCATGACCTGAGCCGAAGGCAGTTGCTTAACCAACTGAGCCACCTATAATATCTTATGCTGTCCGATGTCAGTTCTTTCCTTCTCAGCGATCATGTCAATCTCGCCAGAAGATGCTATAGTCTCATGGGATTTGGAGCCTTTACCAGCAGTCATTGTCTTCTTGGCTTGCTTTCTCGTCGGATCTCCTCGTCTCACCGTGATGGCTTTGTCATTCTCCGCACATCTACTGCAGGGAGAGTTAAGTGTGAAATCAGCTCCAACGTGAAGACGAACACTTGACCAAGATCACACCTGATTGTCTTTCTGGAATACATTTTATGTGTAACAAATATGTATATATAGGAGATGTGTGAAGATCTCTTACTTCCTGAATAGTGATAAACCTGATACAGAAGACCCCCAATAGATTTGTTACTAGAAATAAGATTCGCAATACACTGAGGTACAAAAGCAAAGTGTTTGGTTGAGTTAACTCACTCAACCCATCGCTTTGGCAGCCTTGAGTTAGATACTATGGCACAGATGTGAGCAACATGATGTAGATGCTCATAAATAGTGTATTGTCATTTAGGTAATAATCCTGAACTAAGTTCACTGAAATTTCATTACAATGTCTTCTAGACTAAAGCTGCAGAATAATGCTCATTACAGGAGAGAGAGAAAAATAGAAATTGAATTAATCCTGGAAATGCTACTGGAAGAAAGAACACATTCTGAAATACTGGAAAAAAATCATAAACACTTCAAGGAAAACCAAGTGGAAAATAAGAAATTCTGTAATTTAATTGACTTTATAAAAGATAAAGAAAATACTGCCATGCCATACCAGTGTTACTTTAATGTGAAAGAGTATCTTTTCATTCTTCATTTTCACCAGTGTACTGGGTTGTGATCATTTGATATGATCTACCTGTTAAGTGTTCCACCTTAGTAAGATTATGTTTGTCATTGTTATGAAAATGGAGAAGATTTCTACACAGACACCAGGGAGTGTTGAAATGAAAATGTTAGTTTAGAGGTCATCGTGTCCAAATAGGCAGAAAATAAATTCTTCTCAAACATTTCCTATTTTAGATAATCCCTCACCACTTTTGTTGTCCATTAATGCAGTTTATAGAACACCCACAGTAATAGGCTCTCTCTGAATAGAAGTAATCTCCTTGCCTTATGAATATCCTAAAAGCAGATATATAATTTGGTCATTTCAAAATCGCATACTTCCTTTTATTAATAATTCTCTCCTATCACCAAATATAGTAAAAACAGTCTCTCGTACATGACACTTTTGACACATTCATGAAATGTCCATTTCTCACTGAAAGAAATATCTGCTTTTCATATTGGTAAAAAAATATTTATGTAATTCCCAAGTACTGCATCCCATAAAATAGAAAGTGGTCTTTTTAAAAAATAAATACTTTATTTATTTATTTGAGAGAGACAGTGTGAGAGAACAAGCATGAGTGAGGGGGAAGGGCAGAGGGAGAGGGAGAAGCAGGCTCCCCGAGGGGACCCCCCGGGATCATGGCCTGAGCCGAAGGCAGATGATTAACCCGCTGAGCCACCCAGGTGCCCCTGGAAAGTGGTTTCATTTCCCAGTTATATTAAGAGTAATCTTCAAAGCGTCTTGCTAGTTCACTGTGTTTCATTTTCTCTGTGAATAGTTCATCAAATACTCTCCTCTGCTTTGAAGTAAAGTAGTTTATCCAATCACCCACTGCTCCTGGAAAAATTGGAAACAGACAAGAACCAATTTAAATGTATAGTATTCACCAAAGAACTCTGTCAGATTTGCAATAAAATGTGAATGATTTCATTTCTTGGTGATAAGATGATGAGGGGTTATTCTTTTCCTCATTTGCTTATTTGTTGCTTCTAATTTCCTCAGTAATGGTTGCATATTAATATGTACAGTTTAAGTTATTTCTTGAAAAGAAGATTCAAATATATAAAGGTCCTAGGTTTTACGATAGCAGGCAAAGAAATGTCTCACCCAAACTTAGTTAAAACACAAAAGCAGGGGGCCTGGTGCCTCAGTTGGTTAAGCCCCTGACTATTGGTTTCAGTGCAGGTTGAGATCTCAGGGTCCTGAGATCAAACCCTGTTTGGGGCTTCGAGTGCAGCGTCTACTTGAGATTCTCTCTCCCTCTCCCTGCTCTTCCAGCTTGTGCTCCCTCACTCTCTCTCTCTCTCTCAAATAAATAAATAAATCTTTTTTAAAAATCCATAAAAGCAGACAAAGTAGACATAATGATGTCACTTACTCCCCTGCTGCGCACCTGTGAAGCAATAACTGTGCCAATAACATATCACAGGGCTGGGCAGTCAGTCTGTCTTCTTGATTCAAGTATAGTTAACCTACAGTGTTACAGCAAGTTCAGGTTGCTAATAGAGGAATAAAGTGAATGGACCCATCCTAGTGTTTAATTCCTCATATAGTCCAAATTTAGCAATAGGCACTCATGGTGACTAGTATCAGTGTTAACCTTCTGTGTTTTGTCACATCCTACACAGGGAAACCACTTTTAGATAGAATTTAAATTCATTAGAATTAATGTTGTTAGTGACGATTATATTGATATGGTTTCACCTGGAGGTATTTGTTATGATCACTAAGAGAGCAGGTCAAAGACTACCTCTGTTCTCATTAGAGTAAATTTCCCAACTTAGTCAGATATGATGGGTGAAAACTGAATACCCTCTCATAATGTGCATCAGAGCTTCTGTTCTCTGGCTCCGATTTTTATCTCCCTCATTCTGCTCCACACGTCATATACTCCTCCAGCACAGGAGACTACCTGCTCTTTCTAAAAGAAACCCTAATCCAATTCCGTGGTGGTTCTGGGCTTTTCTTCTTGTTGTTAGCTCTTGCTGGAATGTATTTCTTCCCTGTCGTTTTCCTGGTAAAATCTTGCTCATGTGTCCAGTCCCAGATCCAATGTCATCTCCTCACCTACTTTGCTAGGAAAAAATTCTCTCTCCCTTATTCATGTTGCTGCTCACATTTGCTCATACTACCAGTATAGTTGCCATCACCGTGTATTACTGCCTCCAGTATGATCTGAAGGACAAGACTATTTTACTCAACTTTTGAATCTCAGTTCTTAGAAAATAGTTTATTAATAAATATTTGCTGAATTGAGTTCTCTCCTCCCTCCCAGCCCTGGTTTTGCAACTGTAAGAAAATAAAAAATGAACCACCAGAAAAGACCAAAGTAATTTGCAAAGTTAAGACACTATCTGATCCATATGAGTTAGCAAATACTGGTGTGGGGAGGAATTCTATTCAGATGAGCTAAAAAAATGGAAACAAAGGTGTGCTTTTTAGTAGGAATCCTGAGTACCTAAATGTAGAAAATTTTGTCATTGTAAATTATGAAAAACTTGAAAAATGTTCAAACATTTTCCCCCCGGATCTGGACTAAAATTCACACGGATTTCGAAACAATTCTATATGCAGATGTACCCAAACTGCTTCTAAGTTCAATGTTAGGAAGTAGTAGAGAAGGTTTATTTCCTTCTCTTTGGGTTTTCACACAGAGGAGCGCCCTGAGATAACTCTCCTAGCTTCCCTGTCTACGCCTTACTTCTATGGGGTGAGTTTTTTGGTGATTTGGGGAAAGTGCACTATCCACACTCATCAGCTCCCTTCTCTCTTCCGAAGAAAGCATGTGTCATGTACCTCTCTCCACCATGCTCTCTGTGGGCTGCCTCAGTGCAGGGGCAGGACTGCATTTGATTGTGACTAAGCAAGCACATTTGCAAAATTGAGGATAAGTTACTAGCAAATGCGCCAGGCTGCAGACCTGAGGCCCATTCTTCAAGGAGTTTTATCATTTCCACCTGTTTGACACCCATGTCTTTCTCTCAGTTGGTTCCTAACTGGGCATGGAAATCTCAATGTCTGGAAATAATGCAATTTAAGAAATTCGTTTAATAAACGTTCACTGAGGGATGACAATGAGCAATCCATTGTGCAAGAGATAGGGGGCACGATGATGAAATGAGAGATTTTAAAATGGTAAAATGGGACTACTACCAAATATAAGCCCCGAGCAAAGTACCACATCCCTTTCTGACTTACCTTTTCTAAATACCAGGTTCCTATTAGATGTGAGGGCACAGATAGTATGATTTGGATCACAGTTTTCTTTGGCTGCATTATTTTTCATTTCACTGAATGATGTTTTCCGAGCAATCTTATTAATTTCGCTGTCACTCACATTTATGCCGAGGAAAGTAACTATTTTCTTGATGCTTTTAGAAAGATCCTGAGCAAAAGAAAAATTATTTTTTTAAAAGTGTAACTCATCAAAACGCCAAATTCATTCCCTCAACCCTGAAAACAGAATTTATTGATTTTCTGTTTTAACTTAATTTGACTTAAATTTTGATTGTTGAAATGTTAGGAAGGACTTACTTTCTTCATTTCTTCATAGAATATAATTAGAATGTTTTTGTCATTTTTGTGCTCTTCCCAGCTTAAAACGTGATCGAACCAGGATCCATATACAACTAGAAGAAAAGTGAATTTTGTTAATATTCAAGATCATGGCTTGGCATCCCACGGTTCTTCCCACTTCACCAAAGTAAGGCACACACGTATTAGACTCTGGAGTGAAAGACTTTTACTTAAGAATTGTTGAATCACATCTGAAATTAATATAACGCTGTGTTAACTATACTGGGTTTAAAATGAAAAAGAAAATGTTAATTACATATGTTAATACCATGTCATTCATTATCTATGAAGAAACTTATAGTTAGGTATACTAAAACTCAATAATTAAAAATGAAATAAGATCCTAAATATTTTTAAAAAAGAGTTTTCCTTAGAAGAGCTCAATCCTAAAACACTACTGTTTCAACTAAATACAATATTGTGAAATGAAGCTGGATGGTTGTATTTTTTAATAAGGCTGTGTTGTTTTTTTCTTATTTTGGTAAACATCTTTTTATCATCATCAGAATGACAGCAGAAATACAGAGATACACATTTTCCCAATAATTGTGTTCTGATAACTACTTTGGATCTTGGGAGAAGTAGAGAAACATTGAGAATTTATTATTCTCTTCCTGTAAAATGACATGCTTTTTCTAAGTTCTCAACATAAAAAGTTAATAAACTTCCTCAAAAAGCGGGGGGGGGGGGGGAGAGAAAAGAGAAAAGAATTCTATTCATTATCTTAGGCTGAAAAATAGTGTTAGGGCTTTACCAGTGGTTGATATTATCTCTTGTATTGTTTTGTTAATTTGACAGATGTCAAAAATGTCCAGGGCTTAAAGTAAAATATTATCATGCAAAATAAATTATCAGCCATGATGATAAAAAACAAAAAGTGAGCAACTTCTTGTGCCACAGAGAGTTGATTAGCTTGACAATCTAAAGCATAAAACAGAGTAATTTAAAATTCTGGGTATACATCTTTCCATGCATCCTTATTATCCACAGACTTAATACTAGCTAATGCCCAAATTATAAAAGAGCTCCTCCACTCGCAATTTTCTGAAGATATGCTATTGATTCATTTAATAAGCATTTATGAAGCCATTAGTGTCTGCCAGACATTGTGCCATATAACTTTTGAACATTAAAGTTTTGAATAAATTGACGTATAATTTCCTCCTAACTAACTGCATTTGTTCACGGCTTCGGCCCCTGGGGAAGTAAGGGGCGAGACAATAACCGTAAGGCATCTGTGAACGGAGAACTTCCGGGACTGTGAAGGCATCACCACAGAGCCCGGTTTGCCCCGCTGTGGACCCAGATGGCTGCAGAGGAAGAACAGGTGTTTGGAAGCTCTGATATGTCTCCAGGTCCCAACATTCTCACTGCCAGTTCAGTGACTTACATAATACTGTATCTTGGAATGACCCAAATTACCTATCAGTGATAAGGAGTTGACCTAAGAACAGACAGTCTGCTCCCAGGAACAAACACCTGGTGGCAAAGAGCACTGATTCTCTCTCCTAGGAATTTAGGCAGCAAACTCGTCTATTGCCTCAAGTGAGGCTCACAATCACCACCTGCATCACCACCTCCCCTGGGCAGCGGCAGTCAAGCCCAGCCCCGGTGGATAATATCACCACCCAGAGTTGCTGATGCAATAGAAGCCCCTGATACTGTCAGGAAGCCCAGACTTCTGTGCCCCCCGCGGCTGGGCTGAGAAAGAGGCCCTGAGTCACAGAGTCACAGCCGGTGGTTAGGGGTGAATGAGTCGGCCCACTGTGGCTTTGCTTCAGGAAATGCATTCCAACATACCCCAAACAGATTTCAGAATAATCTTTTGGAGCATAACCTGATCATCATTTGATCATCATTTGAGGGCCAGCTATTCTCTTATTAACTAATTAATTTATACTCCGTCTTGTTCCAAAAAGACAAAAGAATCTAAAGAAATAGGCTGCCTGGGTCTTTCTTACCCATGTAGAGAATTATACTTTGGGTTAATTTTTTAATTAACCAGGCCTATGGCTTTAAAGAAAATACAGCTTCCAAAACAGAGACTTAAAACCTTTCTTTTCTGGGAAATGCTTTTCTCTGCAACCTTCACTCAATGACAGAATTTTCTACCACCTCCTAGATGGCCCTCCTTCTGTTTGTTATCCAGAATTACTTGTTCCCCCTGAAATGCCCCTGAACGGAAGTTGCTCTTTCTCAACCAACCCAAGTGCCTTAGGGTCTGGATTGTGCATCCGCAATCTCACTGCTTCCTATCAACTTCCAGAACTCCCTCCGAGATAATCCAGGCTCCTTTAAGACTCGTGTCCTTTGAATATATCACTCTTCCTAGCCTTATCTCTGTCAGAAATGGGCTTTCTGATCTGTCCCCTGCAGTCACGGAAATCTCTGATCTTAGAGCACAACCTCCTGGGGCAGCTCAGGTCTTGCTGCCAACACTTTGATGGACAGCTTCTGCAAATACCCTACTTGGACCATTTGTGTCTTTTTTAATCTTCATTTTCTTCCCCTTGTTCATCTCCGCACCTGTTTTCTGGGCAAAACCTTCAACTTCCTTGCTCCCTTATTGCTTATTTCAATCACCTGAAAAAACACTCAGGATTCAATCAAAACACTTTACCTTGTTTTCTTCTTGCCCAGTGCTACTGAGTTCTGGTGAAGAAATCTATACAACTCCATAGTGACACCACTGCCAATTCATTTTTCCAGCCTCAAGGGTCCCGAGGTTGCCTGGCAAACCTATTTGTCCTGCATTAACACATTCTCCTATTCTCCACATCAGCAATTTCAAACCTCCCACACTTCCTGCAAACCCTCTGCCCCACTCCTATCCAGTTTCAACGAATATCTTAATTGCTATTTTCTAGAAAGCACTCTGATGATTGTGCTGAAATTCGCCAGGATGAAGTGCCTAGGAAATATGGAGTTCTCATAAAGACTGGAGAAGGGGCTAGCAGGAAAAAAAAAAAATTATGATGCCAAGATATTATTTCATTGAGATATTAATCTGTCGGGATATTGCCAGAACACAGTTTCTAGTTACTATTTAATTTAAAAACCTAAAATGTATTTGTAAACTGTCTGAAAGGTAAATTAGATGATTAGACAAATGTGTAGCTATCTATGTCTTTATGGTACGGCCTCCTCATATAATGTGTATATATTTATGGTTTGGAAATAGGTACAGGATCTCATGATGCCTCAGTTGTAAAATAATTTTTCTAGATAAATACCTCCTTGTAACCTTTCCACCCTAAAGTGAAACTATTTAAAAGTCTTTGCCTGTCTTTAAAAGTCTATGTCCAATAGAATGAGTAGATTTCTACAATAAATTTCTAGTCATGACTGCATTTGAACATCTAAATAGACCTACAAAATCCAAGTTTGAGCCTCAGAATGGTTAAGCAATTTGCCCACAGTCACAGAGGGTATAAGTTATAGTTAAGACTTGATCCCACTTCTTCTGTCTCCATAGCCTGTTTTTCATGTTGTCGTTGGCAAGAGAAAAAAATCCTCTCTTCAAAAAGTCACTGAAGAACATCCCTGAAATAGTCACCTACCTTTGACAGGAGAACAAACAACCTTATCTTATAAATACTGTTCCCACTCAAGTAAATTTTAAAAAGCTTTAGCAATTCACTGATTACTCCCGGTGTCAGCAGGGTTTGCTCAGGCTAGATTACCTGATGTGTAATACACAGCAGATCCCTTTGCAATTAAAAATCTATTAACACACCTAAGAAGGTATAAAAGAATCATCTGGAATATTTTCTCCAACTAACTGCCGTTCCCAGATACTCTGCTATGACATCAGATAATGGGGTGGTGAATTCCCTATGACAGATAGTTTGCTTCCCTGCCTATGGACTGAGTTGCCCTTTTTGTGACTACATTCATAGAAAAATAACTTCTAGAACAGGAGCACTAACAGGCCTGCTTTACCCTGCCCTAGTCAGACCATACCCAGAGGATGTTTTTTGTCTTCTGGGCACTGCAACGCAATAGAGATGTAGCCAAATGAGAGCTCATGCAGCAGTGGGAGGGGTAGTGAACCCCAGTGTGTAATAATTGGAGACGAACATGGCTTTTCCTGAGGAAAAGCAGACTCAAGATCTGTTTTTTTAAAATAATTTATGTATTTAAACTTGGTTCATTCCAAAAATGGAATTGAGGCAGAGTGAGGCATGCTAACCATCTTCAAATATTTAGAAGACCATCATGTGGAAGAGGCATTAGTGATCAGAGGAACAGCTTTTTGCTGGACCAGTTATGCCACGGTGCTAACAGCAAAGATTGTGGAACTGACACCTGAATTTAAACCTTGGCTCCTTATGAATTACGCAAGTTATTTGGCCTGCCAGCGTCTGCATTTTCCTCACCTGTAAAATGAGGATAACATCTAGCTCATGTGCTCTACTGAGGATGATGAGATCGTGTTTGCATAGCTCTTAGCTAAGTGTCTATATCACATAGTAAGTTGTTTTTTGTTTTTTGTTTTTAACATCTTAGCAGTACCGAGATGGAATGTGTCGTTTGGGGGCAGGAGCTGGGGTGTGAACCTGTTGTCAAAGTTAAGAAGTTCAAGTTTAGCCGGTCCAATTCTTGGGAATGTTATAAAGGTGATTCAAACATCAGGTGGGGGATTTTAACCAGCTGACCTTTAATAGACCTGTCATCCCTGAAAGTTTATGACTCTACTAAATGTTTGTAAAAGAGGAGCTGAAATATTATGAGCATAGCATATTTTTCCATAGGGAATACGGCAAAAGAAAGTGTTAAAGTCTGTTGCTAGCGAGTTCTCAATACTGTCCTGTTAAGGTTATACTTGCTGTGGCCTCTCTGAAAGTAACAAGTAAAAGCTTAATCATTTGCAAGTGAAATAGTGAAACTAACAATTAAGCAGGTCTACCTCTAACCCCTGTGAGATAAGATCCCGTTTCTAAATCATGCCTCTTCTAAATTCTGCATCGTCTCGGTACATTATTTTTGTTTAATGAAAGGCTTGGGAACTCAGGTTTGAGAACTGTTTTTCTTTTTTGTTTTTAAGTGCTCCAGGTACCAGTGAGTCAGGGAACAAGTAATAAATTCAAAGGTCATGCATGGTTATGCAGGATCAATATGCGTGCGCTGCACAGCTCAATCAAATGATGCATCACTTTGGTATTTTCAGGAGAAATTCCTTTTTGTTCATTGCTACAGACCAAGTGTGAGGATGGCTAATTCTTTCATTTCTTTTATTTGGGGAATTTTTTTCCCCTTTTTTGGGGGAGGGGGAGGGAGAATGTGTGTGTGTGTTTGTGTGTGTGTGTGTGTGTATTGTTTGTTGGTCTTGTCTTATTTTCCATTTAGGCCTACATAAGAAATATTTCAGGCTGCCTGTGTAGGTTTCAATGCATCCTCCTCTACTCCAATCAATGCATAATTATTTCACTGACAAAACTGATATTACATGAAAAAAAAGTGATGCTTGATCGGAATTAATCTCTGTTTTAAAAACACTGCAACCAGCTCAATAAGTAATTGCAAATCTGTACTATCTACAGGTGATAAGAAAATCTGTGAAGAAGCAAAGTGAGAAAGAATGGCTTAGAAGTAAAAAAAAAAAAAAAAAAAAAATCTATTCAAATGTATTTCTGAAAGTGGGCCGTTAGGATCCAGTTAAACTTTTGGAAAATGCTTTCATTTGGAGGGGAACTGTATATGATGAATAGAAATCATTGTTATATTTACCATCTCCTCTTAGGAAAAGTTCGAAAAATGCAGACCAGGTTTCAATGCCAGGGAGGTTCGGGTTATCTCTGTAGTAGTGGAATAAAGAAACAGCCGTATCTTTTGGATTCCTAACGATGTAGATAATCTGTTAAAAAAAAAATCAGTTTATTTTTAGATGGAAACAGCCCCCATACAAAACATGTTCTTAAAAAAAAGCAACCGGACTTAACCTGTACATGCCACGATTTTTTGGCAGCTTATACTGATTATCAAGCACAGACTCAGGCCAGTGTTTCTCAAAAGTTAATGCGCACAAGAATCACCTGGGATCTTGCTAAAATGCAGATTCTGATGCAAGGGGTCCAGGAGAAGGCCTAGCTTTCTGCATTTCTAACAAGCTCCCAGGTGAGGTTGGTACTGCCAGTCCACCGACCACACTTTTTCAATTTAGGCCCTAAATGTGGCTCTATCTCTTTAGCAGTGTATTCGAGAAACTGTCTATTCATTTGGAGGACAAGATTACTTTTGTAATATGAAATATTTTAACATAATAAAATTTAAATAATTTTAATGTTATAACACATGATTTAAATACACTAAGATTTCTTGTAAATTGCCTACTCTTATTTATAGGAAGAATGATGTTTTGGAATTTCATTTTCTATAATTGCATCCCCCAGAGTAGGGAATCTGAGCCACCTTCCCAATTTACACAAACACTGCCCTTGCAATCAGATTCAATTTAATACATTTTTGTTTAGTACCTACTGCAGACCAGGCAGAGTGGAATGTTCCAGGTCTGAGAAATCTGATGAGCAAGACAGAAATGTTACCAGCTCTCTCAAAACAGGTAAGGGAACGCAGTGTCATGAAGGTTATAATAAGGACGTATGGAGTGCAGTAAGAGCATATAAAAAAACCTCAGGAAACCAGTGCGAGGAGCTGGATATAATAGGACTATCTTTGATCAAGTCAGTGTTGCATGAGGACCAGATGTTCCACTTACTTTTTTTTTTTTATTCTTATGTTAATCCCCATACTCCACTTACTCTTAAATCGATAATCAGGTGGATACATGTTACATAGGTAAGAAAGTATTAACTGAGTCATGTTTAATACATAACTATCTTTCTGTACGATGTTCATAGTCCAGGAGTTGTGTGTGTGACCCACATGAACAGCACCTGTTCCTCTTGAGAGATGTGAAAAGGCCACTGTGCTCAGAAGTGAAAAGCCACGTTTACCCCCTGTTCTGCCCCCATTATCCTCTCTTCCTCTCAAGAGAAAATTATGGAGTAACTCAACACTTCAGGCTTTCTCTAACTGCTCTCTGCATCCTGAGCAGATTCGCAGAACCCCAAGGCTCTGAAAGCGGTTTAAAAATCCACTCCCTGTCTTAACAAAAAGGGATAAAGTGGCAGAATGTGAAGCCTTAGCCATCCAATTGGAGTTTTTTGTCTGTTCGTTTTGGTAGACAGAAGCATGCTTTAGGGCCTTTGGAGAATACCCAATGTTACATGTCGGTATCATCCCCTGGGAAAGACAATGCAAACTACTAATACATTAATACATATTTTGACAAAAGAGGTTAAAAGAAGTATTCTGTAGTTATGTGTAGCGACATGTTAAGTAGACTTATTGTGGAGGTCATTTCACAATATATACTAATATTCAGTCGTTAAGTGATACATCCGAAACTAATACAATGTTGTATGTCAGTGATACTCAGTAAACACACACATACAATATTCTAAGAAATATTAGGGGATGGTTGAAAGATATGAAGAGGAGGCAGAATAGTACCCTCAGAAAAGAAAATTAAATGTTAACTAAATATCATGAAATGAGCAGACATTTCATGTAAGAGAGTTTGGAAGCAGAAAAAAAGGCAGGGAGACAAAATTAGGAAGAAAACATAGGAGGCTAAGTAGGGTTGAGGGCCGGTAGGGAAAGATGGCAAGAGGAATTGACCATCTGACAGGCCTACTGGAGCAGGGAATGTTAGAGTAGCCCCTAAGCTCTGAGGGCTAGGCAGGGGGAAACAGAGAAGAGGTCATCATCTTGGGAAACCAGGTGCAACCAGAGAGTCTCACTTCCGTTTAGGATTATACCTTAAGGTTCTGTCTTTACTGTGGTTGTTTTAAGAAGCCCCCTACCCATTCTGAGCTTCAGTTTCTTTGCCAATGAAAGGAAAAACATCTATTCTTGTCTTTGTTGTAATGTGTTTATAAAACATAGCTTAATCTTTGCCACATTGTATTCGATGGATCTTGTTGTTTCTGTATCAAATGAGGAAACCAAGGCTCAGAGAGTATCAGCAATTTTTCAAGGTCACACAGATTGAGAGTGGCAGAGCAAGAACTCAAGCCCGGTTTTCTGGTCCTCCCAAGCCTTTGCCTTTAACCACTGAACTCACCTTGCATTGTTTTTGTTTGATATTCGCTGGTAGCAGGTTGTAGCTCAAATGTGTGGGAATAACTCTTCTCTTACGGTTCATTTTTAGCTCGTCAAATTTAGAAATATCTCCCATCTCGATAGGAGACGTTAGACTAATTCGAGCATTGGGAATGTTCCCAATGACCTCTGCAATCCAGTGAGTACCTTCACATAAAATAAAACAAAATGCATTTTTTAAATTAAACGAAATTCTTGATGAAATAAATATAGAAAATTAGCATAAGGTTATAATAGCAAGGAGTGCATTAATTTTATTATAAATAGTTATTATTACCGCTTGACACCCATTGAAACCTGAGACACTCGTTGAAACGCTAGAGATGTTAACTCATTTTACAGGAAGAATCACACTTTAAAGAGCATGAAGGGACTGAGAACTGTCTATGCTGTTTCCTCAGCTTGAAATACTCTTCTGTGCTATACTCACCTCTAACACCTTCTCCAATTCACAAATACACAGATCTTTCCATACACAGTTCCCACTGGTCCTGCAAGCTCATGCATCTTGCTCTTTTATAAATTGTCTTCTGAGTTCCCACTCCCATGGCATAATTGTTTACCCTTTCTGTCCCTCCCAAGTAGCACACACCAGAGTCTAGTTGCTATTGCTTGTATTTATGTGTACCTCCCCATTTCCCCCTGGAAGATAGCCACTGGATCTAATTTTTGTTTGTGTGCAAACATAGAGTAGGCGTGCAAACAAAGCACTTGAACAATGAACAAATGCTATATTCAAACAGCGTAAAGATACAATCCTATGCTACCATGAAGTCTAGAAGGAATACATAAAGCAAATGTGGGTATGCTCCAGTGTAAGACAATAGTAAACTGGAGCAGGGCAGTAGACAATAGTAAACTGGAGCAGGGCAGTAGAAGTTTGGATGGGGATGATGCTTTGCTGATTTGAAAGCAATGTTCCTAAAAAGTTTTAATCAGGCCTATTTCCTTTCCCTTGATCTCATTTGTAATTCCAATTCGAAATTTTTAACAATATTCGCTAATTTATAGCTGAATAAATATTTAAACAGTGCTCTCATTTGCATGATGTTTTAAATTTAAGACTATTTTAAATTATAATGCTCATAAGTCAACTATTTATAATATTCATATAAACATGACTAATATTGTAATGACATTTCTATTATGTTCACAAGATGTATTGATTTATTCTGGTGAAGAAGAGAGAATACAGTTTTGGGCTATATTCAGGGGACCTCCAGAGCTGGTGGGTGATATCAATTTATAGGCATCAATATGTACAGTGGAAGCTTTATATATGGTATAAACTAGCCACCTGCTCAGAGAACCTTAAAAGTATCATAAATTACTTTCTAAACTAACATATCAATTTAGGGTAAGGTGTATTTATTCACAGAGCAATCTACTACATAGAGAGAATACTAAAGTATTCTGGAAACAATCATTTAATTTCCATTTGCAACACCATTTTCCAATAGAAGAATTATGTATGTGATTTATATTTATTCTCAAAAAACACCCTGGAAGATCTATATGAACTCCGTGTCTTTTAATGGGGATGGCCTTTTGGGCCTGACTCACAATCAGATAAAGGGACTAAAATGTAAACACGATTTGAAGGGGCTAAGCTCTTAGTTACTGAATCATGCTAGCAAGCATATGCCCATTCACACATGTCCACTCTTCTGGAAATCACAGCAGGCAGTTGGATATTATATATCCTGGCCACCTCTCAAAATTAAAAAGAATCTATAATTAATTTAGATTATCCCCAGAATGACATTATTCATAATGGTCCTTTCATGAGTGTATAACTATATGTGGAAATAAACTTTGCATAAGAAGGCATAAAATTGAACACTAAAGGGGCGCCTGGGTGGCTCAGTCAGTTAAGAGTGTGCCTTCGGCTCAGATCATGATCTCAGCATCCTGGGATAGAGTCCCGCATCAGTGGGGAGTCTGCTTCTCCCTCACCCTCTGCTCCTCCCCCGCTGCCCCTGCTCTATCTCTCACTCTCAAATAAATAAATAAAATCTTAAAAAAAATTGAACACTAAAAATACTTATGTTTTTTTGATTAGCCTGGGAAAAAAGAAGTATTCATTTATAAATCAATCATAAAGTATGAATTGAACAAATATTGCTTATTGCCATGCCTGGTGCAAGTATGAAGAGAACTTTATAATGTTACAGATATTATGCTTATTATGTACATCAACATCTGTATACTTTAATGAATAAAAGAGAAACAAGACTGGAGTAAAAGCTCTAATTCCTCCAGCTGAATTTTCTCAAAACACAGTTTTCAGCTTTCTAATGTCAAACTTTTTCATTAAAATAAGCATTTATGATACTTAAATTTCCTATGGATAAATTCTGAAAAATAAATGTTTTATAAAAATTGTTATTATATTTCTATAGAGTAGTATATTACATTATTATATTATTATATTTCTATATAGTAGAATATTATACGTCTTATTTCTTACATTTCACACATTTTAAAATGTACTTATACATTTAAAAATACATTAAAATAAACTTTACCAGATTTTGGATAGGACACCAGAAACACATCATCTTCTCTTGCATTGAAAAGATCCAGGGAATTTAGAAGTTCTTCTGAAGACATAGTAGAAAAGAGGATCCCCTTGAATTTATGAAGAACACTTGACTGGTTCTGGAATGACATCTTTCTTCAAATGAATCAAAAAGTATTTACTAAACACTAACTTTACACAAGGCACAGACCAAGTAAGGTCCTTGATGTTAATCCTAGCTCAGTGGCAGGATAATCTCAGAATTACTAAGCTGGTGTTCCAACTAGAAGAATATATGTATATATACGTTTTGCAATTCTTCACAAGAGTAATTTTTAAACCATAACTAAGCCAAAGTCTACTGTGAAAATGATGTCATCTGGATTTTCTTGATAACACAATACAAAATATTTCCTCTAACTTGACATTCAAAATAGTTTACATACAAGGCTATCAGCCTATCAGGATGTAATTATTATCTGAAGGGACTAGAGGTAATCAAATCCTTTGGCCTTAATAAAAAAAGAATTAGCGGCTATAAAGGATTATGTCACTGTGGAAAGGACTAGAAAAGTTGAACGTCTTGTTAATATTAACACATACTAGAGGAAGTAGCTAATACATATTGTGTTCCTGGAAGAGGAGAGAATGGAGTGAGAAAATATAATTTTTTCTTAGAATTGGCAGATAAATCCGTGACTAAAGATGAACTTCATGGGAAATACTTTAAGAAAGATAACATGGGACTCAGGAAACCCAAGCCAGAAAAGAGATATCTTGAGCTTTGATGTATATGGGAAGTTTATGGTTGAATTAAACAAATTCTTGTCTGAATCATTCTTTGCTTTTCTCACTAAATTGTTATATTCTGGATTCAATTGGATATGGCAACAAAGTGCCCAATAACTTCAGTGAACCACAGTGGAATCTTTTTGTTTGTTTGTCTAACCATCAAAAGAAATGTATGTCAACCAGGAAATGATCAGCATTTTTACTAAACATAAAAAAGTAGAGGTCTACTGTGGAAGAAATAATTGAAGAAGAAACATATTCATGATAGTGGCAGAAATGAAAATCAGAATAATTATATACATGGGAAATTCTAAAGAACTACAATTAGAATAAACATGTAAATTGGGCATGGTTGCTGGATGATGAAAACAAATTGTATTTCTACATTCTAGCAAAACCAACTGAAAAATAAAATTTGAAAAACCCTACTATTTACAATAATATGAAAACTCAAATGTCTAGAAATAAATCTAACAAAAGATGTGCAAGGCACTGAAACCACAAAGTATTACTGAAACTAGTTAAAGAAGACCTAAGTAAAATGAGAAATGTACCATGTCCATGGACCAGAAGACTCAATATTATTCAAATGTTAAAATTCTCCTTATTGATCTACAAAGTCAATTCAGTTTGATCAAAATCCCAACAGGGAGGTGTGTGTGTGTGTGTGTTTGTGTGCGTGTGTGTAAATTGACAAGCATTTATATGAAAATGCAAAAGCAGCAAAATAGCCAACGAAGTGCTCTCTTCGGCAGCACATATACTAAAATTGGAACAATACAGAGAAGATTAGCATGGCCCCTGTGCAAGGCTGACATGCAAATTAGTGAAGCATTCCATATTTTTTGGAGGTTCTTCAAAAAGTTGAAAATAGAGCTACCATAAGATCCAGCAATTGCACTACTGGGTATTTACCCCAAAGATACAAATGTAGGGATGCGAAGGGGCACCTGCACCCCAATGTTTATAGCAACAATGTCCACAGTAGCCAAACTATGGAAAGAGCCCAGATGTCCACTGACAGGTGAATGGATAAAGAAGATGTGATATATATATACAATGGAATATTATGCAGCCATCAAAAGGAATGAGATCTTGCCATTTGCAACGACGTGGATGGAACTGGAAGGTGTTATGCTGAGCGAAATAAGTCAATCAGAGAAAGACATGTATCATATGACCTCGCTGATATGAGGAATTCTTAATCTCAGGAAACAAACTGAGGGTTGCTGGAGTGGTGGGGGGTGGGAGGGATGGGACGGCTGGGTGATAGACACTGGGGATGGTATGTGCTATGGTGAGCGCTGTGAATTGTGCAAGACTGTTGAATCACAGATCTGTACCTCTGAAACAAATAATACATTGTATGTTTAAAAAAGAAGAAGAAGAAGATAGCAGGAGGGGAAGAACGAAGGGGGGAAATCGGAGGGGGAGATGAACCATGAGAGAGAATGGACTCTGGAAAACAAACTGAGGGTTCTAGAGGGGAGGGGGTGGGAGGATGGGTTAGCCTGGTGATGGGTATTAAAGAGGGCACGTTCTGCATGGAGCACTGGGTGTTATACGCAAATAATGAATCATGGAACACTACATCAAAAATTAATGACGTAATGTATGGTGATTAACATAACAATAAAAAAAATAGCCAACGAAATCTTATAGAACAAACTTGTAAGACTTAGATTATCAAATTTTAAGCTTTATCATAAAGCAACACTAATTAAAACAGAGTGGCCTGAGCTCAAAGATACATATATAGATCAATGGAACAGAATAAAGAGTACAGAAAAAGACCCACACATAAATGGTCACTTAATTCATGACAAAGGTATAATTCAGTAACAAGAAGATGGTCCTTTTAATGAATGTTGCTTTGTTCAATTGGATCCATATGGGGCGAAAAAAATCTTACCTTACATCATATGCAAAGAAAAATTCAAGATGGGCCATAGAATTAAATTAAAAAAAAAAAAGTTTCTAGAAGAAAACAGAAGAATATTTTCATGACCTTTTGGCAGGTAAATAGTTCTTAAATATGATATACAAAAGCACTAACCATTAAAGAAAAAGATTATAGTTGGGCTTGATTAAATTAACAGCCTCTGTCAATTAAAAGACACCATTAAGAAAGTAAAAGGTAGGGGCGCCTGGGTGGCTCAGTCATTAGGCATCTGCCTTCAGCTCTGGTATCCTGCTCAGCGGGAAGCCTGCTTCTCCCTCTCCCACTCCCCCTGCTTGTGTTCCCTCTCTCACTGTCTCTCTCTCTCTCTGTCAAATAAATAAATAATCTTTAGGGAAAAAAAAAAAGAAAGTAAAAGGCAAGCCACACACTGGAAGAAAATACTCTAATTACATATATTCAACATTATGCTCATTTACAGACTCTTTAAAGAACTCCTAGTAATCAATAACATAAAAATCAAACAACTCAACAGCAACAACAAAAGAGCATACGCCTGAATAAGCCTTTGGAAAAGTGTTCAACATCATTAGTTGTTGAGGAAATGAAAATTAAAATTAGCATTATGGGAAGATCCAATCCCACAATGTTGGCATGAGAAACTCTGTGGGCCCACTCCCTGATGAAACAGCCATAAATAATGAAAATTATTTTTAAAATAAACATTTAGGGGCGCCTGGGTGGCTCAGTGGTTAAGTGTCCGACTCTTGGTTTCAGCTCAGGTCACGATCTCACCGTCATGGGATTAAGCCCTGCCATGGGCTCTGGGCTCACTACGGAGTCTGCTTCAGATTATCTCTTCTTCTCTCTCCCTCTCTACCCCTCCCCCCACTCATATGCGCACATGTGCATACTCTCTCTCTAAAATAAATTGATAAATAAAATCTTTTAAAAAAATAAACATTTAAAGTCTCTAGTAATGATTCAAAATCAGGAAGCAAATGAAGATACATTTATTCAAGATAATATTTGCAAGTCATATATCTGGTAAGGGATTTGAGTCCAGAATATGTAGAGAACATTTACAACTCAATAATAAAACAACCCCGTTAAAAAATGGGCCAAGTCTACATTGTTGAATGTAGGTATAACACAGGCCCAGGGAAAGGCTGAAAAGGTAAGGTAAAGAAATGGGCTGTATCTTGGAAGGCCTTTGCACTAAACCAAGAAGTCTGACCATTGTCCAAGAACTAAGGGAACCACCAAAGATCTGAAGCATCAAGTGAGGAGCTCAGATTACATCCTAAAAAGACCCACCTGCTAGCAGTATGGAGGCGGGTTGCAGTTAATCCAGACTGAAGACAGAAACTCAAGCAGATGCAAATGGGGATGAGAAGAAAAGAGCAGAGCTGACAGTGCCTCCAAGGTAGAATCTCTAGGAATGAGTGGCCAGTTAGACACAGTGGAAGAAGGAGCAAGTAAAGTCACAAAAGCGGCAATCCCACAGGCTGGATTCAGGTTGCGTATTTTGTGTTTATTTTGCCATTCAAAAAATTACATTTGAGCTGCACTGACTTGTCCATTCCTGTTTGCTTTAGTCCTCACCATTCCCTCCTCCCTGTGGCCCTGCTGGGCTTTACCTGTCTGATTTCTGAAGGAATGACTTTTCTAGACAGTCTTTTTTTTAAATTATGTTTGCTTATTCTGGGGTTGTGAGGAGACACATGGGTGAGGAAGGATTAAGGAATAGTGGGGCAAGGTGACTTCATTCCTCCGTCTGATACTGGCTCTGCCACCATCTCCAATCACTACCCCACCCCCACCCCCCATCTTTTACCGACCTCTATTGGATTTTCTGCAGGAAAATCAAGAAAAGAGGAAGAATCTAGACTTTTTCTCTCATAGATGCCTTGAAAAGCTTGAGAAGCTATATTATGCATCTACTAAATTGCCTGTCAGATTTCTAATGCTTATTGCAGCACTGCAGGAATCTAGGATTACTTTTACTTTACAGATGAGTAAACTGAGGCAGTTTAAGTAAGCCAGGTTGCCAATATGCTTTAGAATACTGCGCTGAAGTCTCTTAAAAACAAAGGATCATAAAGCATGACCTCATCATTTTCCTAAGCCATTTGACTTTTTTTTTTATAGCCCTCATTTACTTTTATGATAGATTCACAGGTATATTCACCAGAATCTCTGACCAGCAAAATTAATAAGAAGTATAGCTGATTCATATCTTTGCTTACATATGATATTTTCATACTTCACTGGTAGGAGTATAAATTGGCTATAATCATATTGGAAAGGTGTTTGACAGTATTCTATCTGTCCGTTGCTGGTTACAAACCACCATAAAATGTAATGACTTCAAAGCAACTGATTTGTTATCTTTTACAATCCTGTGGATTGACTGTGTTCAATTTAATTGTTCTTGCTTCAAACCTCTCAGGCAGGGGGCACCTGCATAGCTCAGT